AAAAAACGCAGTAGCTGATATATGATCAAAACAAGGTATAATCACAGCCTTTCATTCAAACAACTGACCTCAACCTCCACTTCAGCTTCTTTCGGCAGCTCATACGCATACTCCAGACCATTTCCAACGGTGGTTTTTGATTCTTCAGCTTTTGACTCGTCAACAAGCTCTGCAGAACAATGAACAATGTTTGATAAACAAAAACAATGAACTTAGAAGATACTGCAGGTTTTGGCTATTGTTGGGGTGAAAAAATTCGAGATATGATGAAACTCACCTATTCCCCAATTATTATCTTCATGTACGACCTCCTCTTCCTTCGCTGCTTCTACTTTGACCTCTGTTTTCGCTTCAGCTGCTTTTCTGGCCTGAAATTGATTCAAGAAACATGACCTGCTTATGAAAGATAATTTTGCTCAATCTTACTTGATATTCCTTTTGCCTTTGCCTGCAAAATCGATCATCACACTGATCATTTGGCATCATTGCTTGACGTGGGAAGAAATCTTGGAGGGCATTATAGCCTACGTACATTGATACTTCACCAAAATTCAGGAGATACCTAAATAATTTCAGAATGCATTTTTGAAAATAAATGTTAAACAAACAGACTTCAAGGTGTTCTGCACTAAAAAACCAGCGACAACAGCCATCGTGGTTGGTAGAGATGCAGCGCAAACGCCTTCCCTTTTGAGTGTCCTTTCATCGATGTTTGACGCGACAACGAGAGGAGGTATGCACTGAGAAAACTGTCTAGAACCACAAATGCACGTAAGAAACAAAAATTTGAGCTTACAGCAAAGCAAGCGGTACGTCCGGGTTCAATGTATTGGATGTGACCGGAGACAGCATTCTCACTCACACCCGATTCCATCCAAACTTGATTTTCTTCATTGCATGCCTAGAAGGAAAAACCAAACAATAGAAAGAAATTGCTGGAATTTTCCGAATTACAAGTAAGGATTAAAAAGGGTAAAGATGGAAATTCTGGCACTTATTACGTTCTGAATGCCAGAAAAAGACCAGATAGAGTGGTAAGTGCTTTCATAACAAATGATTATTCCTAGTAAGTCTTGAGGGGTTACATTATGATCCTTAGACGAGCCTCATAAATTTATATGTGGCCCTCATGAGATGATGTGGTGGACGAATTTAAGCAAAGAAAAATGTACATTTTTTTGAATAGAGATAAATAATGAACAGAACTCAGATAGAATGAGAAAGCTAACTCACAGTGTTAACACAAATCCTTGCTTCAAAATTGTCTACACAACTGAGGACTAGGTCCACTTTACCACCGGAAAGAGAACCATGCCTGAAAGAATTGTTCAGTTTTCATGCATATGATTTGAAAAAAAAATTAATACTACACTTACCGTATGCAATCGACAAATTTATTGAAGTTTTCCACAGTTATTAT